CTTCGTACCAAAGTAATTAACATTCCCCGTTAATTTTAGTACCCTAACGAGGACCCGATACTATAATCGAACCAACTTTCGCCTTCCGACGGTTCTAGAAATCGGAGGATGTTCTAATTTCCTTGCGTACTTTCGCGCGTTCCAAAAGATTCCCCTTGGCGTAGCCACTTGGGTTACAAACGATGGAAAGTTGCGATCGATTTCACGGTTGAAACGCAACTTGTTTCCTGGACGTTCGGCGTACAAGTGGCTCGCTTGTACGCGGCTCGCTTTGTGGAGGGCGACTCGCTCTAGAAAGCCTTCGCGCCATCGCAAAGAATACGCCACGGATAAAAAGAACGATGCGGAAACGTGGAAGGGTATCGACATGGCGAAAGGCAGGAAGGACTTAATCCCGGGACGCGTGTCGGGGAACCATTTGTTCGAGGGTGAAGAATGCCCGGCGCTAAGAAATCGGCCGGTCGAGGCTTCACGGGCCGATAGGTGACGTTAAGAAGAGAAATCGCACGGATCACGGGGTAGAGGAGCGTAGTCCGGATAGACTATATCGACAAGATACCCTACCGCGACGCCGACACGGGGAACACTGTAAATGGTAAAGGCACAAACATCGAGAACCAGCGGTACACCGGTGTGTACCGGAGCGCGTGTACACGGATAGGCCGAAAGTGGTCATGGGAAAGGTATCGGTGCGTTAAGGCCAAGACTGGATTCCGCGGGGCGAGGCTGGCTCGTTGGCGGGTAGGAGTGTACAAGGTCTTCGATACCTCGTAAATTACCACTCAGGGCCCCCTCTGCCAACCAGCTCTCGGCTCAACTAATGTTAAGCTGCCTACGTTTTCGTCCTGTCGGGGAAATACCGCCGTCCACCGTCCGCGACCTAACCCTCCTCGAAAAAACACCGCCGTTTCGACGCATTCTATTTTACACTCTTTTTTCGGGGTGAAGCTCGTCTCTGCAAATGAGCCGGTCGCGATCGACCGACCGTCCCGTTTATTTCCAGTCCTCGGCGCTAACACCGTCCGAATCGATCGGAGATCGAAAGCGAAAGCTCGTTAAGGCGAGCCAGAGGATTGTATATTCCCCGATATTCTTTCGTTCGTAAATTTTCTGCCGGCCGAACGTTATTGGGAAACACGAAACGCGCCCCGAACCCAACGGACGCGATCCTTAACACGGTCCTGATTCCGATCTCAGCCGAGGGAACAATTCGACCCTAGGAGTCCCGAATTCCTACCATCATTTGACGCCATTACGACGCGTCCAGCCTCCTTTCGACAGTTTTCCGAAAATTCGTCAACTTTTTATTAATTAGGATAATAAGACGCTGTTAGATTTGAGAACAATTTTTCGAGCAGTGTAACTCCTGATAAAAGAAGTGTACCAAAAAAAGGGTGTACTATGCGTACAACTTATCAGAAATGAATTACCGTAGAGAGAACAAAGACAGAAACTATAAAATAAATTCTTGATAGTACCTTTCTTTTTCAGATCGTAATGATGTACGCCTTTAATGAGTAGCTAACGATGACGCTCCGAAATTTGCGCTTACTTTTGAATAACTTTCCCATCGTTTCCCGAGTATATAATTATGTATATATTTCGAGTTTCTTAAGACCCGTAGGATCATATCTAATAAAAAAAACTTTTGCTGCTAGTCGACTCAATTTCTAACATTGTCCTTTCTTTTCAATATCACACGTGCTTGCTGCTAATATCTCAACAGAACGACTGATGTTGGTATAAACGAAAAATGATCTTTAAAATAACGTTGGTCCGGGTTCGCGACAAGATAGCTTATCGTTCGGACCGAAACGAGGGGCCCGACATACTCGAGGCGAGTAAGGAACCAAACTCGAAAATGATTCCCGAAAAATACTGGTTGTAGGGTTCGATGACGTTCGCTCGTCGCGTGAACGGATGTAACAGTGTCGTGTAACCCCCCATAAGACTGTCGTTGGTGGAGGCAGGGATCGTCGAGGTACGCGCGAAGCCAACTTTACGACAATATAATTTTGGTAGCGACACAGGAATGGTGTGGAATGCGACGATCGGAGTCAACAAACGGTATAGAAGTCTTCGATACGTCGTAAATGGCCCATACCCGGTCCCTTCACGGTCGTATCCAGCTCTCCATCTCGATGGGTACATGCACGTATATATACACATAATATCGAGCTGCCTACGTTGTGTCGTTCTACCATTGGGAGACTGACAACCGAACGACCGAAAACACTGACGACGCGCCCAGTCTTCGCTCGCGAACAAAGCTCGGTAACTCTCTATTATACGACCGATCGAGAAGAAGACGAGGGCACGGCCTGGTCGACGAATACCAGGCCTTGTACGTTCCTGTATTTTCGTACTAAATTGTTTTTTGACCGTGCGGTGAATCAACTCTCGCGTAAAACGCAAAAACAGAACAGTCCTGAACGCGAAGAGCGTGGCGATCGTCAAGAGTGGCCTCGGGGATCGAAGGATGGTATCCTTCTGAGAACTTGTCAAGCCTGAATTGGATGAATTTATGATAGACGGATGTGCTCTAGTTTGGATAACGGAACGGTATAGAGCCTTCAAAGATAGGAAACTCGTGCTACAACTTCTGTAATATCGACTGGCCTCGCGCGTTCCAGCGGTGTTTACAGTTTATTTCTATGTTTTTCCTAATCTTTATATATGTATAACGCTAGTGGAAGGGCGAAAATTCGACAACCCGAAAATTCTTCCAAGGAGAAAGAAGCTAGAGTCGGCGACATTCAAAGTGAAAAAGTATCTGAAAGAATATTTCAGCCTAAATGGTTTTCGGTCGGTGGCTATTAACTCTGTGCAGCGGGATTCGTTTGAAACCGAGAAGGAACCGATGGTCCGTAAAGCGAAGTGGAGGACCGCGAAGAGTCCATGGGCTCGGGCAGAACCGATTACATCGGGTGGATCCGACGTTGGGGCCCAACTATCGACGAAGGAGGGGGATTCACGAGAGAGCCTATTGTTGTGCTTAATTTAGCGTTAAATTGTTTACATCTCATTAATCGCCGGGAAGAACCTGCGGGCAGACCGTCATGATCATCGATGCACGTCAGTCATGGACCGTGGGCATCGCTTTTAATTTCGAATTGACCACCGTGGCCGAGCCGTACCATGGACCCTCTAAGAAACGGACTAAAGCATCTCGCGTGTCTCTTGTTTCAACGTGTGCGCCCGAAGAACGCCACGGGACGAGTCCGCGTCGCTCTAGCACGATGCACTCGACTGCGTCAGCCGCGAACGACGGTGGAGCAATATTGGAACTCGAGCTCGAGCTCTCGACTAGACCGGTTCGTTCGTTCACTGTCAGTCGAGTGCACTTCGCGGTAGCGACACACGCGAGAGCACGTTATTCCTCTGGGTTACGGTCGACCGATACAAAACGTCCAGCTACGTCCACCTTGAACCGTGTCGCTCGAGTATCCTCTATTAACGTTGCGATTACCGTTCGTTTGCTAGGGACAATGTTAACCTACCGAGACTTCTGGCTCGGTCGCGACATGGATTTCTGCGGTTAAAATTGTTAGGGGACCTCGAGCGTGTAATCGTATCACCGGCATAGCGGGTAGCTTCAGCGGTGATTTAAGGGGTACTCTTTTTTTTTTTTTTTTTAACTAGTTTCGAGACTATTTTCATCACTTTTTTCATATACAAGATCCTCTGATGGTGAACTGTTCTGCTCAAATTGTTTCCAAGTCACATACAATATGAAATACAATTGTCGCGTGAAATAGGGAAGAAAGTATTAAAACGAGCAACAAAATAAAAGAGTAACCCTTAAGCAACAAGGATATTAAAAAAAAATAAGCAAAGAGTTAAATACTTGAAAATCATTGTAATACTAGGAACATTGTAATACAATGACCCAATTGTGCGACAAGGACATGACCGAATGGAGCAACGCGTAAATGCGTCCATCCTAGGGATTAAAAGAACGCGGTGAAATGCGTTTGCGCGTCATTGTCGCATAACGCGAGATGCAGACGGTAGTCGGAACACGATAAACTGGTCGCTCGAGGCCAGTAGTCGGCTAATCCCCCACCGTTACATTTGCTACTTTGCCGCTGATTGGCTGGGTGGTACAGATAACGAGATGATATCCATCTACGGAGTACCCCATTCGTCACGAAGCTCCTGGATATCTTCGTTGCTTTTAAAGTATATGATACTTTATATCGAGTACCCGTGCATCCCTAATATAAGCACTGAGATCATACCAGGAAGTCTCCCTAACAGTTTTAACTACATCTCGTACAGTGGTTCGAGCGGTATCGGAATGCCAATTATTTCCGGGGGAGCTTCAGTCGTTTAATGTAAATACTTTGGGTAAACGATTCAAGGAATAGTAACCCCGCACTGTAAACGCGAACTTGCGGGAAACAGAGGTTCGAGACGGTGTAAAATACGAAACCGCTTGATTATCTATGGTCATATTTCTCATCGCCTTCGTTTTTGTTAACGCATTAGTAGGCCCGAGTGCAGCTACACGCTATGATCATAGTATAATTTCACATAATGAGAACTCTGGTAACCGATCGGTTAAGGGATACAGCGACTATCTACACGGAATCTCATGCTATCGGCTTTCAATAAGGTTGATAAAGTCAACTGCACGGGTACAAACCGCGAGAGACTATCCGACGCCTGTAAAGGAGATGCAACCGGCGAATAATTCACCCGTTATCTATACCATCTACTGGCTGGTTAAGCAATTTCTCGAGAACGTCGATATAATGCCGTGTTCCGCGCGTTACCGGCAAACAGGAATATTCCGCGAATCGCGCACGATACATGAAATTAGAATGTTTTCGTGTGTTAAACGCGTCTCGATGAGCAACGCGTGCAATCGATAATAATCGTAGGCAATTTAGCCGTCGATTTAACTAAATTCGAATCACTTTCGCTGCGAAAGTGAACATTAATTCAACGAAATAAAGTACTGGTTCGTGCAACGTGTACAGTTGAAAGCGACTCACCTGTTAGATGACTGCCGGTAAACTCGAAGTCGTCGTCCTGATCCCAATGTTTCAGACTCAAATTCGACAACGAGGTAGCGTTGGCGAATTCCAAATTCGCAAAGTGCCAGTCCAGTATTTGACGATCCTTCGAAGACAGATACACGTCGCTGCAAGCAAACAACAAATTTTTTTCTTTCTTCTCTCCAGTATTTAAACGGTACACGCTATTGTATAAAAATTTACCTAGGCGGAGAGGCTTCCAATTCCTGTAGTTTTGCTTCGATCTCTTTCTGCTGTTCCGATAATTGATCCCATTCCTAATACATAGAAAATGGACAGTATAAAATGTTTAAATAATTACTGCAACTGCATACACGTAATTGCGGTTTATACCTTGCATGCGTTATGGAGGTCGCGTAACTTTGAACGCAGTACAAATTCTTGCGTTATATCGCGTGTCTGTAATTTGCTTTCGGTCATTTCTTTGTATTGTTTATTTAACTCGACCAAACGATCCATGATCGATATCATCTGTAACGTAAAACATATTCTTGACTTCGATGGAAGATGCTCCTAAATACTTTAAAGAATAATTATTATTATACGTACCCTGTGTTGATTAGTGATGAGTCTTCCTTGAAGCGACAAGACGGAACGTAGATGAGCTACTTGACGTTGTTTGACACCTTGTTCTTGAAGGCGTATTACCCATTCTAATGCTTGACCTAAAGACACCGGTCGCGTGTTACCTCCTTGCCCCGTCGATCCTGCGTTGCCCACGTAATTGAAATCTAATTGATGCGAAAGATACGACGTTGCCTCCAATAACCTATTAAATTCCCTTTCTACCATTTCATCCTTATCTTTTGGAACCTGTTTGTGTCCAAAATGTTAAAAGTAAGCAATTTCCTGAAACATGCCTTATCGTCATTGTATACGCAAAGAAACAATTATAGTAACCGTTTGACCGTCGCTTTCGTACAAAGGACACTTTTGTCTAATTTTGTGGAGTTCCATATTAATTTGTTTACTTAGCGTTGTAACAGGATTTCCGCCTAAACCAGTAACTACCATTGCGCCAAGGTCGGCAATGTACGAGGATTTACGGAAAGTTGCGATACGACCACCAACGCGATCCTATAAAATATGAAAAATATGTAAAATGTCATACGCGCTTTATAAACGTACAGTACAATGTAGAGTAACGCATACTCTTGCTTCGAGGACGATAACTTCTAAACCAAACTGTTGCATCTGTTGAGCCGCGGCTAAACCAGCTATACCGGCTCCAATTACGATTACTTTACCTAACTTCTTAGTAGGTAATGGCTGAAATAGGAAGTTCGATGTTGAAAACGTACGATGTAGAATTAATTTATTATAATTGATTATAAAAGATATATTACTTTAAATCGCTTAAATACGCCAAAGTTTATAAAACCATGTCGCTCTAAAAATGCATGAATTCGACGTGCTAGTACGGTGTCGCTGTTGTAAGGTGGTTCAATGGCTGGTAAAGCATTTTCAACGATTAACTGTTGCTTGGGATTTTCAAGCCATAATTGCAACTGAAATAAAAAAAATTACATCTAAGCGCAAAAGTACTCGACGAACACGTATTATTTGTTGACGTATAACATACGAGTCTGTTCCTTATATGGAGAAAAACTTTCTGAGTTTGTGGTGGACCACCAGAAACATCTGGGAAACATGCAGCCTCTGTAGAAGTTAATTTATCGAATGGAAGACGACTTTGGAATGCTGCCCCTTCTAAGCCGTTGAGTAATTCTTTCACTAGAATTAGAAATATATATATATATATTAAAAGTGCTACCCAATAAAAACTACCAAAACTGGCAAGAATATTCTGGCACTGAATCGTAAAAGTTTTCAATATATATTTACCATGTGGATCCTCATGATCACTATCCTGGTCATCTTCTTCTTTTGTTTCTATTTTTATCGCCGAAGATGTAGGTACTGACTGTGGTATGGCTGCATCAGCCTCTTTCTTTACTTCAGGCACAACTTTTTTTTCTGGTGTAACAAGTCCAGTTTTAGATTTCTCCGATGTATCAGAAGCATTTTCATCCTCTAACTGATTATATTTTTCTTCCATCTCTCGATATTCCACCTATATACAAGCATAAATGCAGTAGAATGTACTGTCAGTTACAGATTTTCTGTAAACAAGTCTTAACGGAAGACATTGATCTTAACATAGAGGTTAAAATCTTTTGCTGCTATTTATGAATTAAAAGTTGAATAAAACACTTTTATCTTCACCGACACGCACTGAAGTCTACACAAGTAAAAAAAATCATACGTATGATTGCTGACAAACTACTATCAACAACAGAAAATGTATTAAATCAAAACATAACCTAACCTACATGTTTACAATTCAAAACCATTTGCTATAAAGACGTATAAATTTTGATACGTACGAAATATTAATTTCTTGTACAATACTACATAGAAGAATACAGATAAACAAACATTTTCGTCATTTTGTGAAAAATATTGTAAATCGTAGCGTTTGAAGTTAACCATAACAATCTTTAGCAATACCTATCGAAACAAACAGTATTAAAAGCATTTAAGTAACATAATACAACAAACCTTCGCCCTTTTCCTTCGACTCATCTTGCAATTCTTTAATATGTTTTTCACAAAATCTAATCACTACTAAAAGTAATCACACAGGTTTGTTTTGACTCTTCAAACCGGCGGCACATACAATTATGAAAACCAGAAACTACAGTAACACAGAATACTACGCCTACCAGAAAGTAGTTCGTCCCATGTCAGCATATAGTATAGACATCTAAATGTGAACAAACCGAACTTTTCGAACTTTAGTAACGTTCGGTAATTCTCCTAGCGATGCCATCTAACGTTTGAAGATAGAAACTAATTCGCTACAACTTAGGTGCACTTGAACGTTGTGCGCAATATAAATACTAATATGTATCTAACGTTGTGATAAACATAATTTAGCTAATAAACATAGAATGATGATTCATGTAGGGTTCGAATAGAATACATTTGGTTCTATATTCTTCTAAGTTCTTATAATATATTTCATTTTAGGCTTCAAACAGATTACGGTCTGTTGTGTTTCAATGTACAAGAAATCAAACAAGATCTTTCTTTTACTGGCTAACTATCATATTTAATAGGTATCGCAATTAAAAATGAATATCTTGTACTTGATGTATAAATTAAGTAGTTGTTACAAGAAGGTTATGTTTCAAGAGTCGATGAGGAACGTATAAAGAAACTTGGTCCTGATCTTGCTTGTGCAGAATGGCTTTTAAGGAATGGAGCATTTGTTCGATGGAAGGGATTTTCTGAGAAATTAACAGATTATAATTCACTACCATCAGCAGGTAATAAGTATTACATAGAGGCTGTTGATGCTGACAATGCTGGAATTAGTCATATTGGATTTCCATACTTTGGTCGGTATTACAAAAGTTTTTATACACTAAATGAAGCTGAATATATTCAAAATGACTCATTCAAGTTATTGATTTAGAGGGATGTAAACACATAAAAGAAATTAAACTTAAAAACTGTAGATATATCAATAATGACGCTATACCATTATTATCAGTTCTTCAAGATTCACTGATTAATCTGGAACTTGTAAACTGTAAAAGTATTACAGATGAAGGCCTACACAATATAAAACTTCTCAAGTATATATACGATCATTCAACAATAAATACAATAAACAGAATTTTAAACATAATAGTACATCTATTTTCAGAAATTTGGAGATGTTACAAATTCAGGGATTACCATACCTCAAAGATAAAGATTTAATTCGCAAGGAAATTATTCAAGCTCTGCCTAAGTGTAAAATTGACATTTTATAAATACACTATATATATTTTTATGAACTATGTGTTGGAAAATATGAAATAAAATAAAAATTGTAATATTTGTAAAATTAATACCTTAATTATAACCCTTCTAGCATAATGTATCTCCTGATATATCTTAAACGACTACATTCTTTAATCACCCTTCGACCTACATCATTTTACTGGCGTTTCCCGCCAATATTCTATTTCAATGTGTTGGCTAACCTGTATGTACAACAGTGAATGTTCGAAGTTTAAAACTCGAAAGAGTCGTGATTTGAAACGTAAAAGATTTAACGTTAATGAGCTTCTGCTTAAATTAAAAGTCATGCCACAAGAAATGAATATTTTATGCTGTTATTCCTGCAAAATGTATCAGGTACTTTCTATATACATACGTTACCCCAAAAAAATACGATTGTCATATCGCAGTTCATAACACATTAATTGCTATCTGTTTCTCAGGTCCATATTGTTAAAAAAGCAAAAAAGTGGCAGTGTAAAATATGCAATGTAAAACAAATTCTCAAACGGGTAAGCTTATTGTTGTCTTCTGTGTTAGCTGTGTTCTGTGTATATAAATAAGATAGTCCATTATCATAAATTTCTGTCACAAAAGAAAGTATAATTCTAGAGGCTATCAAATAAAGAGTATATATAGTATAAAAAACAATTTAAATTGTTAGGTTTATTTCCAAGGATCAGGAAAAGATTGTCGTATTCAAGTTCAAAAATTAAATGCCATGAAAGAGTATGAAATTGAAACAAGTACATCTTTTGTGTTCGACATGGATATGCAGTCTGGTAGTAATCACAAATCACAGGTAGCTTTAAACAAGTGGAAAAAATATTTGGACACATCCGAAGAGATTGATTGCAATACTTTTGAAATGACAAATGATGAGAGTGATAGTGACAAAGAGAATGATGGTCCCAAGTATCTAAATAATGATAATGTGACATATGAACATAGTAATTCTTTTTGCAAAACTAATTCAAAAAAATATGTTTCTTATAACAAAGAGAAAGTATATGACCATGCTATAGAGGAAGAATTAATTGACAATAAGTCAAGTAATGGTGTTACTCAGCACAACAATATAACCAATGACAAAGCTATAAATAATATTTTTGATGATAACGAAGATTTTGATCTTGCTATTGGCTTTTAATTTCTGTAAATTCTATAAATTTAAACAATATATTTTTTATTATTCTAATGTATGATTATTTTCTGTGAAATATAAAAACGTTCATCACCATCTTCTTTCACACTTCTTATTTATTGATTACCCATCTTAACAGCGTCATTAGACATAAATGAAATATGAATTATGGTTTGGACAGTATTTATTTGTTTATTTTGCATGATTTAAATACATTTTTTAATTTCAAAATCTTGTAGATATTCTCAGGATACTAACTGAGAACCTAATATATAACACAGACATACACTTGTAAAAAAATAAAATGCTAATGGACAGAATTATATAGCTGATGCATTTAAACAATCACAATTCATCAAATATAACTGAGTATTATCTAAATCTTTTTATATTTCAACTAATCCGATTAAAAATAATATATAGTTCCATCAGCATTCCATTTTTCTTTACAAAGACTGTTAGCTGTAGCGATCACAAAAGGTTCCATACTTCTAATAAGGTAGAAGATTACGCAGAATAAATGGCACTGAAAGTTTGTTTAGTTTCAGTGAAATATAAACAGTCTTAGCAATGCATATCTTTAGATAATGGCTGGAATTACTTTTTACTATTTACTTTTAACTTGTCTCTACAGTCAGGGTTAAAGACTTTGACAAGGATCAGTTGTAACGATAGTAAGACAATTTGTGGCAGTGCGCCATACGAGCAGTTTTATTTCTCATTGCTTAAAGGCAATAGAAAAATCAATTAAATGGCAGCTTTAGTGGAATAAACATGTAGATACGAATGTATAAAGAATTTGTGAAAGGAAACGCAAAAGGTTCTTGGCAGGATGATTTTGCTATTGTGTTCTTTTTTTCGTTGTGCGTATCAGTCCATTGTCACAAATCCAAATTTGAACTGTCCTAATTACAATAGATGAATACTTAAACTCTTTGTGTTTCTTAGACAATTGTCTATTGTCTAGAAAGCTACAGGTATTGGTTATTTACTTCGCAAAGAAGTATCGTTACTAGATCCGGATAATTGAAGTTTCAAAATTGCTCTAAATTTCATTAGGCAAGTATCGATACAAGTTAGTTGCTTCTTGTATAAAGACCTAAAGAGACGAGAGTAAATAAATTATTATAAAAAATATCTGCTATTAAGTAAAAAAAGGATCATCGTTTGGATCATTTCTCGTTCTCGTTCGCGTGTTTCAACCAAACGCACATGGTACACGAGAAATTCGTCTCGACCGTTCGCAATAATTTTACTGTAAAAAGTAGCGTTAAAAATATGCACAGTACTCGTCGAACTGCGACCGTCTACTGGAATAAAAACGTTATTAATTAAATATCACGTTTCCGTTCTCTCTTTTTTTTTAATTAAATATCACTAAATAAATTACGTTATTAAATGCACCGCGAAATTAATTAATATACATCTAATCCTTCGACAATACGATCAAAGAAAATACAAATAAACCGGTCAGTACTGATGTCTGTGCCGCCGGAAGTTCACCGTGTCTTGATGATGCCTCCAACTGCTTTGCCAGCTCCTGCTGCGTCTGTTCCAAACACTGTTCAAGAGGAAGAAAACGGGATACAAATGTTTACTAACCGTGATACTACCCAACATCACCTCTACGTTTTCTAGTATACAATAGTCAAGCTTTCAATGGCTTACTTACTTTTGCAACTTTTTTCGTCTCTTATTAGGTGGACTACCGAGTTCACTTTCGCGAATAATTTGCAAAGCCGACGGTACAAACATATCCTCTATGGAAATAAATAACATGAAACAAACAGTAACAAGGAAGAGACCAGATCACTCGCGTTTCATCGATCGAACCTACCGAAAGTGTTAACATATTTTCTCTTCGAGATTAATCTTTGATGTTGTTGGAGCTGCGGTAAACCTTCCCTCGCATTTCCAACGGTACAATCCCGCGTACCTTTGCATCCTTTCAAATGTTCCAATTGATCGTGAAGATACGATCTCTCGTTAGGCGTTAAGGAAGAAAGTCTATTCCATTGTTCAAACGGGTCTAAATGAAAATTAATAGAAATAGAAATGGATCAGTTGCGGAAAAGACAATTTCAATAACGTACTTACCGATCCTTAGATTATAATAAGTAACCAAACCGGTAGTGAACTCGCAGTAAAGGAAATTATGCGTCGCGTTAATTGTACGAATGCACGAGTACGTGTTATTGTTCGCATTCATACAAAAACAGAATGGACCTGCGCTCCACATAGGCGCGGTACGCCAGTGATCGTTATCGTGCTCGAAACAATTCATTTTCTCCGTCAAACACTCCTTCTCGAGCTTGGCTTTCTTCCGCATCTTTCGCTCTTTCTTTTTCAAACGTTCTTCCTTCAATCTTCGCCTCTCTTCTCTGGCTATCTCCTTCTCGTCCTTCTTCGTATACGAGTCAGGCTCGCAATAGCATTTATGGCGAGCTTCTAGAGGGCTGTTCAACATTGGCGGCAACCGACGATTGCTTGCTATATCAATTATATCTATTATAAACAAAATAAATAAATAAATAAATGAATAGATAAAATCAAAATAAAATTTGCACAGCAGGCAGATTTTTTTTTATTCTAAGCTGTTGCGTCAAAGATCAACCTTGTTTATTCTTCCTATCAGGAGATTCCAAAATGGTGACATCTATCCTGGAAGGTCCAAGATTTCCTGCAGTTTTATTTTTCTGCAACTTCGGGAACTTCCTCGGAGGAGTGATCGTAACTGGTTC